AACTTGAAATTTTGTGAATGCTGTGATTATGCAGGATAGCTAAAATATCATTATAATCGAAACTGAAACAATTGAGAATTTTTGTAATGCAAATATTGTAAAAAGGTTTACCGTGCATATTCAGTGACCATTAACTCTATTGTCTACAATGATTTTTTGCCATTATTGTTTGAAAAATGTTAACTAGGAAAAAACATCCCAATTAAAATAAAACAATTGAGTTTAAATTTTATTGGTTTGTGATAAAATTTTAATGTCTCTCTTTGTTATTCTTTTGCCTCTTCTACTTTTCCTTGTACCATATTTGATCATAAAATTACTGAAAAAATGAGAACATGACTAGTACTTAATACTCATTATTTAGAAAAGAATAGAATGTTTCATATGTGCATCATGACTGATAATATCTACAAACTATATTCTGACATTGTTCTTATTTGTTTCAAATGTTTATAGACACACATATAATTTTTTGCTTTTGTTTAGCATATCTGACATAATCCCATATAATTCTTTTCTTTTTGGTAGGAACAAATGTTAAAATTATTTTGAAGAAATGTTAATAACATATTATTTGTTTTATTTGTTTTTAATGGGTCACCCCACCCCTCTAAAATATTTTTCTTAACTATGTTAATGCCCACAAATGCTACAGGAACTATTTCTATTTAATATAGAAAATTAGGTTTAGAGAGATAACATCATCACAAGTCATAATGCAAGAGGTAATTTATTGCAGTTAATGACTTTAATATATACACTGTCTCTTTTCAGGTAATCCTCAGTTAGTTTAAGATATTGTTTAAAAAAAAGATATCATTGTTACATATAATTCTCCTTTTAATTCAATCAAACTGTTAATGTCTTCACCATTTCACATCATGAGGTTGAATGGACCTTTTTTATCTGTACTCCATAGCATTGAGTAAAGGAGGGAAAAAGACACTTAAAGTCAGTATGATTTTAATTTACTTAATCAAAGACTAATCATTAGTAAATTAAATGACTGATATGATTGACTGTTCAGAAGAAATTAGAAAAAAAGTTGCCATTCCATCAAGCATTTAATTAAGACAATTGGAATAGTTACAACATTCTTTATGTACATTTTCCCAATTTTTAAAATTAGAAAATTCAGTGGTTAATACTAGAAAAGTCATTGTATTGTTCATGTAGCCAGCCTATGAATGTAAGTGGGAGCTTGGAAGATGACATTTGGAGGGTAGACTGCTCTCCCAGCCCAACGAGGCTCACTGAGCACAAAACGACCACTGGCACCACGGTGGCCTCGTATTATCAAGTATCTGGAGTGAAGTTGATATACCAGCAGCGGCTGGCTTCGGGTTCTGTCTCATAAAACAGACCTTTTCATTCTCTGTTATGTTCTGGTAGAGAAAAAAGCTGCCATATGTAGAGAACTACGTACATAAATTTGGAATGTGATTTTTCATAGTTTTTGGATCACTCCTTCATGAAACTCGAGGTAGCAAAAAATAAGGCAATGCCCTTAGTATTACAAGATTCTTTTCATTGTAGTTTGCAACATGCAATATGTTTTTAAATTATAGGTATCTATAAATGCCATGTCAACAGCTCTCTTATGTCAGCTGTTATATATCACAAACCAAGAGTGATCCTTGCATATAGGACTGAACTGCCACCCCCCAAAATTACACCTTAAATACACATTTTTTATTTGCATGATGCCTTAGAACAAGCAGCTGGGCTTCATTACCTTGGCAGATATTGATGATCTATTCAGTCATCCAACGGATATTTATTGAGCAGCAAACATATAAAGCCTCCATATTATTAATAATTTTTAACACAATTTCTAACTGAGAAAGTGAGAGAGAAGTGTATTGTTTTACTTAAACTCATAAAGATCTACATCTTCTAAAAGAGTTTTTTTCAGTCACTCAGACACAGTAGAAAGAAAGGAAGCATTTATATCAATCAAAAGGAATATGTACTTCTATTTCTCATCTTAAATTTCAGCTTCTGAAGACTTTCTGTATGCGGGACAGAGTTGCACGGAAGCCACAGATAATCTCCACTCCCATTTCAGGACTTCACTTTTCACTGACTTTCATTTTCCTCCTCTATAGGTCAAAACCTAAGTCGCTAAGTGAGCCAAAGAAGTAAAATCATCTTTGATCACAGGGGCGGTTACTACATTGCCCTTAAAATCTTTCTGAGCATTTCATCCTTCATCTTTTGCTTTTCTGGGGATAAGAGCCCTGAGCTCCAGGAGCAATGACTCCAGTCTCTGAGTAGCCAGGGAATTGTTGTAGCCATTGATTCTGGAAACATAACATTAGAATAACAATGTGTGCTGTTGGTTTTGGAAAGTGAGATAGAATGATGGATTTGTCTTAATTGATATGTTGAAGGGAATGATATGTTGAAGGGAATTTTTCTGAGCCATTGAAACATATTTTTTTCTAGTGCATGGACACTAATTGAGAAACTCAATGTAAAATATAAAAAAGGATTTTATTTCCCTGCTTCTTAAAAGGACTGAGAAGAGTTTATCATTATTATTACTCACTGAAATATTATTACTCTCTGAAAATTATTATGTTGCCCTTGGCTCTAAAAACTTTAACATTAACCCACTGATTTCATGATCCATTATTTGAAATCAACTGAATGGTAAATACTTATAATAATTTTATTTGATTCATGAGGTTAAGTTAGAAATCTTTAAAATGGTGGAAACCTATTGTTTATATTTTAAATATTTGTGAAAATATTTTTATATTCCCCTTTTGTTTACAGAAGTATTTAACATAAGTTCACCTGCTTACATTTTCAGCTATATATGTTTTGTTTGTTTTTAATGCTATGTGACTTTGTCATTTCCTTTGTGTAGTCTAATAGTTTTACAGAGGAATTTTACTGAACTATTATATAAAATGTTTTCAAATGATTATAGAAATAATAGCATTTATTGAAAATACTTTGCAAGATTTAGAGAAGCAATGAGTAAAAAGAAATTCCAAGTATAAATCTATCATGGAGAGATAAAATTTGATTTTTATCAAGGTAATTTTTTCATGTCTTTATTTTGGTAGCAGAAGTATATAATCCAGAACAATCCTACATTCAGTAAGCATTATGATCATTTTAATAAGTGCACTCAATGGGAATTATATTCATTCCAGTAAGTCTTTATTAAATGTGGGCCATATACCTTGTCCAAAGTTATGCATTCTAAGTATGAAATCTTCGTGTCAGGTCAGACTGAACTGCACACTGACTGTTGTTCTTAAGAACTCTAAGGCAAAAGAGATGCAGGGCAATGTAATAATTAAACATCAATGTGATTAGATCATATAGTTGAAACAGAAAGACATGTAGAGTTAGCTTCTAAATTTATTAAATTTAAAATTATTTCAGTGAGTTTTATCAAAGTACAAGTTAACTGTGGTGAATTTTAATATGATGCTACATAGACAGTTTCTAAAGGTTCAGCTCTAATTTCTTGTCAACAAAGCATAGCTATTGTCAGTGAAATTTAAAGGAATATTTTCTGAGTTAATCTGCTTGATTTCCCCTCCCCAACATTATAAATAGGATATCGACTCACTTTCGCAGCTATTCAGGTCAGCCTTACCAGAGGCAACAGAATAGATTATCAGTTTTGAAATATAAAACAATTTAACAGCTGAGTGTCTCTAAAAGTAGGCTATTTTTATGTAGGCTATAACATGAAATAAATGTTTTCTCACTATGTTATAATCACAGAAGTACAGACATATTCTTATACTAGTTTATATTGGTCAGTTATTCCAGAAAAGTATATTAAAGATTGTGTCAATGGACCTTTGAAGACATCATGTGTCCATGCAACTTCATATCAATATATATTTCATGGTATCTGGGTTTAGAATTAAGTGTATTAACAAACAAACAACTGACTCTGAATGATATGAAGTCAGTTCCTATGACATATACTTTGAAATGTGCACAGCTAGGGTCAAGAAAATCTGTGTCTTTTTTCTTCTCTCTGCCTTCCCCTCTATACTTGTGGGCTAAAAAGTGCAAGGGTCTGATATCCTCGATCCTATTGATTATGCAGATTGTATTGATTAGTCTTTTAATCATTTATACTTTTCAACTGCCTCAGCATTCAGAAGAAAACACCAGCTTCAGGCATTTAATATTTTTTTTTATATCAGCCACAGGAAGAAGTTATTAGACTTTATTTGACTACGTGTTTGTGGCAGAAGTGTGTAAAGGTAATTCATTTTTTCAGTATGTCTCCAAATGCCAACATCTGCCCAGAAAAAAAAAAAAATAGAACATGTCCCCAATGTTTGCATTATTGCTCAAAAAGAAAAGCACTTTGAATTATTTTTAATCCAATATAGCTGTTTCTCTGAAAAGATTTCATTGTGTGTGTCGGACTTCTAAATAAATACAAGTGCTCTTTATAACCAGTAGCCTTAGCTATGTGGTTAATCACTAGCAGACCCATCCTATGTCTGTGTCTTTGACCTTGCTAAGCTGATCCCTGGCTTCAGTTTTGGGGCACAGATTACTTGATCAAAGGCACATTGTCTTTGGAAGATAAAGAATATGTGCATTGAGCTATTGTAGTGAGAGGAACTGATCTATTTTAGTCATGAAGACATTTCAGATTTTAGCGTGTGCATCCTCACTTCAGTCTAGAAGAATTTAGAAATGTATATGCCATGAATTATAGGAGTGAGTTCTAGCAGCTCAGGCTCCTTCCCTGGGTTCTTGCAAAGCTGCTTCCCTGGGGGGAGCAGTCTGGTGCTTCAGTGGAACATGATTACCTTTCTCTTTGGCTTCTTTTTTTCCCTGATCACTTTCTTTCACATGTCCTGGGAGGCTACTACCTTGACTCTTCCAGTGCTTAATATGCTCAATAGGAATATGAATTCTCCTGGCAGGAATCCTTCCCTTTACTTGTTTACAGCAGTGCCAACTGCATGCTGGGTAATATTGTAGACGCTTTCATGTTGCCATGGTAACTGGTGGGCGTTCCTTTTTTGAACAGTGCCCATACCCTTGATGTCTGCAGTGTCACCTTTCTTGTAGATTCACACGTATGGGTCCAGATGAAGCTCTAGAGAAAACACAGCAGGTGCCTGTCTTCTTTCTCTTACTGGTGGTCATTTTGATGATTTACGGGAACATGGTGATTCTGTCTGAAAGACCCTATACAGATTTTTTTAAGTTAAAAAATGGTTTTCCAGATTTTTAAAGATAACAAACAAAAGTAGAGTAGATATAACCTTTAGTATCGAAAAATCTATTTCCTTTGCATTCCTAGAAGAAAAAATTACTATTGGGAATACAGACATCCGGGTGTACTGTCTACACTGAATGCCCTGTTTTTGTATCATACCTAATAATGATGTCACGTAAATAAAATCTTAAACTCTGAAAAGTAATAATAAGCAATAAAATAACTACATGTGTATCGTATAGTTTTTCCTGGAAGCAAATTAAAACATGCTCTTTTTGTAAACTCAGGAGTTACCCAGGTTAAACCTGAAACTGGTCGCTGGGCCTGGAGCCAAAGAGTGACCAGGAATGAGACAGGCCCTCAAGATCTGTAGATGATGGTTTTTATTTTTAAGATTTATTTATTTATGCATACAAGTGCTGGGGTACAGGCCAGAGATGCGGGCGTGTGTGTGAGAAGATTCACCAGAGACAGAGTGGGGAGCGAAACAGGTGTTTCAACTGAAATACACCGCTGAGGGGAGCAGCAAGCGAGTCAGGAGAGGTCTGCTGCACCATGTGGGTTGCTCCCTGGCCAGAGATCGAACTTGTGCTGCAGAGGCTGTAGATTGCTTCATAGTGAGGTGCTTAACTCCTTGTGCCACCAGGGAGGCCCTGTAGATGATGGTTTTAATAACCAAGGGAACATGCATCTGAAGCTTGCTGGGGAGCACAGCCACCAGGCAAATAGACCTTGGTCTGTGGGAGCTCTGGGTGGAGCTCACATTCTGAGGCAGAGGAGTTGCTAAGGAGCCTCCAGCTGGCCTGGTCCAGTTCACTGTTATGCCCTCTCAGTGGTTCCTTCAACAGAATGTGCGACAAGTTCAATGCTGACACATGTAGAAATGTGTCCAAGAAATAGAGCTGGTGTTAAGAATGACCTGGTTGAACTTAATACAATTGTGATTCCTTCTCACATCTCTCCAAGTTCCTAATTTAGTGGCATGAGAAAGGGTCTGGACAACCCATATATTAAATAAACAAATTATGTAACAGATGTGGGGTTGGGGGTGAGAAGATTCACCAGAGAGAGAGTGGGAAGCAGAACAGGCAGATCTACTGAAACACACTGCTGAGGGGAGAAGCGGGTGAGTCAGGAGAGGTCTGTCGGTCACCTCCCGGGCCAGGGATGGAACTCAGTCTACTGTAAGCTGCAGATAGCTTCATAGTGCTGACACTTAACCCCATGTGCTACCAGGGAGGCCCTTTTTTATTTTTATGATCGAATATGTAAGTGATGATCTGACATTTATTTTAGAAATTGACCTCTATCAGTAATACTGAGGGATTTTTGTTGCTGTTGTCATTTTACTTTGTGATGAGCTGTCAGAAACATTTGGAAATGTTTTTCCAACACTTTATGGAATAACTCATATCTCCCAAGCAATTGCTATTTGTTAATGTGACTTTGCTAACCTGTGGAAACCAAAAACTTAAAATAAAATTTCAGACCTACAGAGGTGTTTAATCTGGTTTGGAAATAAGTGTTGAGCAAATGTTAATGAGATTGTACGAATATAATGTGGTCTAAGACTCAACAACTTACTGATAAATACAGAGCACATGAAATTAGGAATCAGAAAACCTTAGTTTGGTTATTCTCTGTGCCTGGGGTATTTTTTCCGGCACTTTAAATGTTTAGACTGTGTCTACATTGTCCCCATTAAATTAGTATGAAATTACTTTTCTTTTACAAATCACTGACTTACAGTGAAACATGTTTGTGATAATGTACATAAAAGACAGTGGTATAAATAATTCATTAAATATATATAATTATAATTATTAAGAGTTTCAAGAGTATAAAGGCTAAGAGATATTAAAAGGCTAAAGGGACTATAAAAGAATGCATGCAAAAATTATTGCAAGAAACTTCAGCAAGTAGAAAGAAGTGCTAAGTACACATGGCTGTAAATCTGGAGAGCCACTTTTGGGAAAATTCTCAAAATATTCTTAATTTTAAAGTGAAGGTAGAAAGCTCTCCCATATACTATAATTCAGGACATTATTATAAGAGTCCATATGTTTCTGTAATTGTCAGGATTATTCACTGCATATGTATTTATATATGAAACTTAAGTGTAAATTAATAGCAGTGAGGTATTATATGGGCATAAGGGAATGAATGATGATTGCTAAGGGACATACTAGTTTAAATTTCCTTGACTTATTACATGAAAGTCTCAACTCAAACACTTTCCTAATGTCAAGTTTTATTTAAAATTCATACATATTGATTATACAGAAATAATTTGTGGAGACCATAATCTGATCTTTATTTCTGCTAACATTTTTACTCATGAAAAATTCTGGTGCATCTAAAATTCAGTACATTAATTAGCAAATGTTTATCGAATAGATCAAAATGTAAGGCACCACATTAAATGCCTTATGCAATGACATAAAAACACAGGGTGAAGTAACTACATTCAAGAAACTTGCAATCTAGTTGTAGCAATAGCTATGCACCCAGTGTTGGGATGTCCATAGACTGACTATGTCATTAGCATCACAAAGTTCATTCAAAAGAGGCTGCATTAATGCCCAAGATGACCTTCACATAGCAGGGAGGGTGTTTCAGTGTTGGGAAATAGCTTGAGACAGTCAGGATATATAAGAACATTCTCTCTATGAGGATCAAAGTTTATGTTCTGTGTTAGTTATTTTTGACATTACGGCATTTTTCCCTTCCCATCTTGAGTCCCTCCTCTCCTGGCTATGATTGTCTAGTCCTCCACCTGTGTGCCTGCATAGATACGTCCTGTCACTCCCTTTGCTCACCTACCTGCAATTCTCCCCGGGGCCTCTGCACAGTCCTTTATGCCATGTTCTTGTCTGTCTTCACTTTTTCTTGTTAAGTGGAGTATGGCAAGTATTCATGTCCCAAATCAAATACCAGAAGTCTCTCTAACAGAGTATTTTATTGTTAACAGAGATGCAGTGTCTTCCACGTTTTAAAATGCAAATATACATGTAGAATACATACACTAAGCATATATATGTAATCTTAAAAATTGCAAACATGGGTTCTTACTCTTCAGTAAAATCTTTTGAAAATTTTCTCTGAATAATTGACCTTCATTTTAAAACAATATTTTCATGACTGTGTGGTATGTTGTGCTATAGATGAGGCTCCCTACTCTTCCCCTTGGTAACATGCAAAGTGGGATTTAATAGGAGTTTATAAGGTTGTTTAAGGAATGAATGAATGTGGGAAAAGCTTCTCTCATAGTTTCGGTTATTTCCTAGATCTAGATCTTCCTTCCTTCCCATGTGTTCTTACAATATGCCTAAGTTTTCTATTGCTGAGCTCTCACATATATGGAAATAGTCCCCTGTCATCTTCTCAGACTATTCCTACAAGACATTTGCCTGGGTTATGACTAGAAGCTGCCAATTCCGTTTCTTCACTAATTGGAGTTGTTATCTAATACCCAACTGCCATTTTTAGACTGCACACAAGCACAAACACAAACACACACACAGAGTCCTACACTCCACATCTCACTTTCTGAGTGAAAATCCCCACTTCTGGATGTGTTTTCCAAGATCCAGTAACATCTCAGCATATGAGGATAGACACTGAATTGAATTGACCATACATGGGGATGACACTATGATTTAAATCTCAGCAACAGGGCAAAGATGATGTACATGCAAAAACAGATTATATGAGAAAGACTCATTTGTTGGAAAGTTGGAAAGTAGGAGATGTAGGTAGTGGGGATATGAGATTGTTCCCAGATAAATCTTACCAAATATTCTAACAGGGCATCAGGGCAGAACCAGTAAATAAGTTGTCAGTAGTCTAAGAATGGAGTCCCAGTTTCTACAGCTGCTGCATGATTTGGCCAGACACCCTTACCATCCTGGACCAAGGCTAACCTAAAACTGTTGCCACGACTGAGGCACAGCTCACATGAAGTCTATCAAATACCAATGATTATGATTCAGTGACTGTTCTTCTGTTACTCTACATGTCTTTCCTCATTACTCTTCATTAGCCTATTTTACAGGTGTGATAAAGCACAGAGGGGGTGATATAAATGTCGACATCTTTGCAGTTAACACTGGCTAGCCTGGTTCCAAATCTGAGCTCTGAACTGCTGCTGACTCTACGATGATACAATTGTATGCAGAATGCCTGTGCTAGAAAAATGGATAGGAAAACCAATAATTAAAGAAAGATTGGTGTCCTGGGCAGTGTATTGCCTTGGATGAGTGAAAGAATGCTCCTAATGATGTGGTCCTGAGGGGAATGGTTCTGAGTCCCAGAGAGAACACTTGGCAAAAGAGAAAAATTACCAGAACATTAACAGCAGTTTGAAACCTGGCTATAAATGAAGATGCCTAAGGAAAGACCATTTGTTTTTCACAGAGGATCTTAATGATTCCCACTATTTGGATGCTGATGAAATAATTGGCCACCAAGTTAAAAATATAACAGTAGTGATAGTTTAATTGTATCCCCATCAATAATAAATATATAATACATACAGTAACATTTTACATAATAAATAACAGGCATAGTTGATTCCCATATTGTACTTCTCTCAGCTGTACATTATTATACACTAAGGACAGCAAAAAAGGTCATAGACTTTCCTTTTTATAATGGCAGGCATATTAGTCTGTAGTAGGTGCTCAGTAAAATCTTACTGTTTAAAAATTTATATAAAAGAGTCTGTTCTCATTTCACTGTCTTCAGGCTCTATGAATGTAGTCTCATTTTATATTGCTTATTTACAAATATATTACCCCAGGACAATACTTGTTTTTTTTAAGATTTATTTATTTATTTATACAAGAACCGGGGTCAGGCCAGATGCGAGAGGGTGAGAGGCTTCATCAGAGACA